GTAAATTGTGCATTCTCACTTAAGAGTGACTTACAATTGAGCGGCAGAAGTAGACCACGATCAGGTTGAATAATATCCTGAACCTTCGGCAGCACATGAACGGCTTTGGCGTCTAGCACAAAGCAATCCGGACAGGGTGGTAGTCTGGATTTTGATAAATCAAATTCCTGTCCACCCAATGCCAACTCATCCACACAGCCAAACAAATTTGCCAAATTCACCTACAAACAAATAATTTATACTTAAATTAAAGTAGGTGGAAAGTGTAGCCCTAATACCTCGCCAAACTCACAGTCTTCGAGCCCATCCGTACTGTACGGGCGGTTGGGTAGCCGCCAATGAACGCATTCACTGGTACACGCCAAGTAATTGGCTCTTCAATCCACGCCTCGTGGTAGTCAAGAATGAACTATGAGCGAAAACCAGGGCTTTGTTATTACATTTGACTAGCAACATCTTAAAGAAGGCTTCAGGAACAACTACACACCCGCATTTTGGTGATTTGAACGCCACGCCGAGCGTCTTTTGTTTCCATATTGACAGGGAGGAGTTCCAGCCGATGCCAGGCGTTGCCACGAAGATCTAGGAGTGGAGATGACCAGTAAAAATCGCTATTTCCATCAGCACCACTCTCCACTACCAAGTGGATTTGACGCTCGCCGAGGAGAATGAAGAAGGTGCCAGCCTTGAAACCGAAATTGAAGGCTCCTAGGAGTCCGACTGTGTTTTTGGAATCGTTTTGTTCCCGTGTACGGAAGCCGATGGTCACTCGGAAGTCCCTAAATGGCATGAAAAAATCGGTAAGGGTAGCTTTTTTTTGTTATTAATTTGAAAGGAAGGTAAAGGAATCCACAAAATCTTAAGTACTACACGAAAGCTTACGGATTTCCACTTAGCACTTTGGCGATATTTTCCACTTCCCAATGAGCTTCACCGTTAAACCAAGCCGACAATGCCTGCGCCTCTCGACAGTTCTACAACACGCCGCGAACAGCGTAGAAACAATTGCAGAACAAGAATATACTGGAACTACTTGAATAGGCATTTAAGGAGTCCTCACCTTCGCGCTTTTTCCATTCCCAGCGTACTGCATGCTGCGAACACGAACTCTACGGGACGGTTTAGGCGAAAGAAGTGAATGGATAATGATTGGCCACTCCTTGGTAACATTATCGCTGATTGCGTCACACAACTGAAAGTCAAAAGGAGGCAACTCATTTTAAAATGAAAGCTGGTCCAAAGCCACTTAGGTACTGCCACCCACCCACCTGCGGGTTGATGTCACCACAGTCTTCAAAGACGGAGCGCAAACGGCGGCCGGCTGGCGGTGCAGACAGGTCAAGACCCTGGTAGACGAATTCAGTAGTTGGAGAGGGGTGACTTTCGTCTGCTGGAGTTAAAAACCTCGGGCGAAGTTGACCTCCACACTCACCGAAACGATAGAAGGGCCTATTGCGCAGGCTATCAACCACGTCGTTGGCAAAGTCAACACGGCTGAACGGGCATTAAAGCATGTACCGAAGTCCTTTGAATAAGAAAACACTAAGAGAGTTGGACCTACTGCTTTCCAATGATCAGATTACTGATAGAGAAGCCGTAGTAAGAAAGAGTATTCAACTCAGGACCGACGTAAACTTGTAACACGGCAGATTTTGGAATGGATTGACTTAATTTCCATGTATGAACTGGGCGTTGGTCAAAGAGGACGGTTAGTCTGTAAAAGAAATGGTTTTGCTAGTCAATGCAACAACCTGTCAAACTGAAAGTAGTTAAGCAAGTCGGAGTAAGTAGTTCTAACAAAAATTCAGATTTCAAGACTTATTTAACAAGCAACCTTGCCAATATCCTCAAGACAAAGAGAGCAACAGATGTTTTGTAAGAGATTGAGGTTCATTTACAAGGGTGGATTTATCCTTTTCTTTTGACGACTTGAAGAAGCATAGATGAAAAGAAAAAGGATTCCACGAACGTCAGGTCTAGATCCACCAATAACTGGCCAATCAAAATTTGTTCTAAAAAGTATCTACAACTGTGCGAACCTGGTGAATTCGGGTCCACCAAAACGAAGCGTGAGAACGGATTCAGTGAATAGAGGCTGTTGGAAGACCTGTGCCTCCCGAGCCTTCAACGCGGCAAGGTTGTTGGCTGGATCTCGAATGACTGGCGCACCAAAGATCTCCCTTGTAATAAACTTGGTTGGATCACTGGGAATCGCTATTCCAACACGCAGATCCGAAGTCAGCCATACTCGGAACCAGAGATTGTTTTGCTGCAGAGAGAAGGGAAAAATTCTGCCGTAATTGCGTTGCAACCTCAGGAGGGACCAAACTCTACAACCCAATTTCAGGGCAGGAACGGATGTAATAATTGAGATCGCTAATCATGGACCAAAAATAACGGTAATAGCAGACACCTCTCTTGTTCTTATCAAATCTAAAATGAAGCAATTACTTAAACACTGCAAGTAGACGCGCATCATTTTGCTCAATTTGACAATCTCACCTCAGCTACTTGCATTCGAAGCAGGTTAATTTCGTCATTGCCGACAGGTCGGAAACGCACGGTCATGCTGATTTCAGGCAGCCAAGGTGCCGAGAACTTGTTCGGTTTCAACTCGAAGCTCGTGTAGTTGGTCAGAGGCATGAGGGTCAGGCAGTACTGATTGCTTGGTGAGGTGTTTTTCTGTCGAAGTAAATGAAATTATTAAAACACGAGTGAATTATGAAAGTGTGTGCTCTCATGAAAACCCGACGATATTTTACTTGTAGATCATACTTGGGATAGGAGTGGTAAGCAGGAGCCCTGACCAAACAGCGTCACTTACAATGGCATAGGCCTCTTCTGTCTGACGTATATCCGCAAATCGCGTGTCTCCGTAGTTACGGATCGGTGTCTTCGTATAGGAGTCAATCAGAATGGAACCAAGCATGTGATCTCCTGAAGTTGCCAGGCCAATACGGCCTCGGAAGCCACTTGTGGATAAACCATACCTATGGGCAAACAGCACATGTCACTGTTGATGGAGATAGTCTACTGACCCCCTGTTACCATTGGAGGCCGCCTTTTGCTGCTTTTTTTTGAAACACAACATATATCCGAATAAGTTAGTTATCAGACAGTTTAGAAGTTATCTTCTTCTCAACCCTTATTGGATAAAGTTTCGTTGACTTCCACTTACTCTTTCATGGCTTTGCGCAATTCAAAGTGACCGGGTGGAATGCCACCAACAAAGAAGACGTAGTCATCCTCCCTTGCCAATGCACAGTCCTCTGCCACTCGCTCTTCAAGAGCCCAGTAATTGGAGGCGATTGGAGACACCCGAATTGGCCGAATGCTACGCGTTCGGTGACTGATACCGCCCTTGAGGTTACCGTGCCAACGGCTACAGAAAAGGTCGTAGCCTTTGCTCTCCACGGTGATGCCGTAGTCCTTTTAATGGAGCAGAATACTATCCACTGTAATACCACTGGCGAATAAAATGCCATTTCTTGGCTGATAGAAGGTCATAAAATTCGATGTAATCGAATAGCAGTGAATGTGAGGAAATTTAAGGTTAGTTACAGGAAGACTAAAGTTAATCGGAATAAGCAATCGCTCCAGATTCACCTAGAATATTAGTTACCAGCGTCACAAATATGTGACGTCTGATTTTAACTGCTTTATGATAACTGGCCACTCCAACGTGCGTTGCAAAGAATACAGGATGAATGTGGGTGACGGCGGCATATCAGAGCGACTTTAACAGCTTCTTCTACTATCAATCCACTGAGGCTGTTCCAAATAGTTCAACCTACTTCACGGTAATTGTAGAAGGTTAGAACCATGCTGTTGGCTATCTGTGGCGCCAGTTTCTGCAAATGTATATTGAGAGTTCGGTCACAGGGCGAGATATGATCGTAGCTGGTGATGCGTGCGTAGGCGTCAGTGGCTGCGAAGTCGTGAAGCTGCATGTACTCGAGAAAGACCTCCGCAGATGTGACTTCTCTTGGCCTCGAGCGACTGGGGGTAATAGTGAGTCCTGTCTCCAGAGCAGCTGTCTTCTCCCACACGTAGCCATCACGCACGATGGGGCGGAAATTTGTGTGACTGGTTGGAAGTGAGAAAAGAGATTTGAGCAGAGGAGAACAGTGAGATACCAATTAAATTACCCAGACTTTTCCATTTCTCACTTTGCCATCAAGTAGCTCTGCAATCAGTCTCCTAACTCCTCTCTACGGTCATAGTGAGGCTATTTTTAGAGATAACTGAAAAATTACACTTCAACTCACATCTTACAGAAGTCCTCCGTCTGCTGCAAGCAAGCCGGATCGGCCTTAGCAAAATCGGGGAAACCCAACCGATGCCCGGCAATTTTTAGTTCGTAAAGACATCCCTTTGCATGCTCCATCTTCATGAGTCGTCTCCACATCTCCTCAGCACCACCCTCACCCCAGGATTCTAAAGGTGGAGCGTTCAATTCCGAAGTGCTAGTGCTATGGAAGGCCCCACCGACACGCAGTTCCAATTGATTATCCAAAAGAAGTCCCGTGGGCAGTGATTCACCATCATTTTCTTCTATGTAGGTCTCCAAGCGAGTTGGTAGGCCGTCGAGAGTTTCGCGGTCTTTTGGCACCTCTTGGAGGTAAAGATCCACTCGGCCTGACACTCCAATCACTCGAACCTACAGAGAAGGAGGAAAATGACTGCCGCTTAAATCTGTTTAGTGGGAGTAATTGTCTGTTGAAAGCTCTGTTCTGGCAGTCTGAGCTACTAATCCCTCAGTTCATCTGCAGTTCTACCGCAAACCTACTTCCGAACTCATCTGCTCCTTAATAATGGCTTCATTAGTAACTTGGCTGCAACAAGCTATTCCATTTTTTTAATAACTGGGAGTTTGCGCGTTTCGTCATCTGCACAAATTTACCCTATTGGTCGTAGATCCATTGAGCGGTCCAATCTCAATGCCCAGCTCTCCACCCACAACATCTGGCTGTGACCAAGCAAATCTCAGGTTCCTGTTCGGCTCCACAGTGACCGCAAACATGCTCGTTCGTGCAAGGAAGGCGCGTCTACCGACTAGCAGCACCGAGTTTGTTCGAATACCGGTGGCGGAGGAGGTTATAGGAGAGGAGGTTGAGCTTCGTCGCAGGAGTGCAGGAGCGAACCAGAATTCGAGGTCGAAAACACGACTACGAGTAGTGTGGTAAGGCACCAGCGTGTAGGTGCAATCTCCACCGCTAAGACGCAGAGGAATGGGGTCTTTGCCCAAACTGCCGTAGGTGAGATCCAGCAGCGAACGTGCCAGTGAGGCAAGGCGCCTCGCTGTCGCCATTTTGCGATCTACTACCTCTGCTTGTTCCTCTGTCTTGGCGATCATCTCCAATAGGCTGCGCTGAGTGGAGTTGGCCTGGTTGACTAGATGTAAATTGGATTTATTTTAGAGCATTGAATAACAATTGACGGTCTACTAAATCCTGATTTATAGATACCTGATTCCTGCCAAATAAGTAAATCCCTAGAATTGAGATTAAAATGAGGGCAAAACGTTGAACTCATCAAATTAATGAAAAACACTACTAACGCTAGGGCCGAACTCCTGGTCCCTTTGGTGGAAAATCCACCTATGATATTAATTTTTGACTCTTGAGTCGTTGCCAAGGCAATACCAGGCTTTATCGATCTGCAGTATACCTGCCCTTCCGTAAAATAATGTATTTCTACCTGGACTTATCTTGGTCAGAGAGAAATTAGACCAGATAAACTGCTCAGCATCATCAAAATGGTAAAAGACAGAATAGAACGTAGCCGAATAGCTCACCAGCCATGTTGGCAGTGCCTTCTATCTCATTGAACTGTTTTTCGATAGCGCGAACCTCTTTGTCAATCCTATTGAAAGTTTTTCTCTCCTTCATCACCTCTTCAGTAAGAGCATCCAGTTTGGGTCGTGTAAGAGTCACCAGAGGAGACAGTTGGCCATTCACGCGTTCTTTGGTGAGTTTGGAGGTCTCCAGGGTGCGTTTCAACACTACGCTGATGTCAGCAAACGACTTCTTCAACGTTGCCAAACGATCCGCATTGGCATCGGCAATCAACTTTGCGTCATTCAGGCGATCATTTAAATGTTGTACTCTATCCTGAAAGCATAATAATGTTGCTACTTATGATGAGTAAGTAGGTGAGGATGTAATATCCTAATAGGTTTAAGAAATTATTGAGAATCTAGATATGACTTTTTTTGCGAATCTGAATAGACTACATGCAAGCAAGCAAGGTGCGTTTTTAACTTTACGACATGCCTGAATACAAAAGTACGGTCTTTGCTGGCTTTTCAGGAAAGATTCAAAGGATTCAGTTAAAACCCACCACTGTTTTCTCATGACGCTTTTGAATATCTGCAAGAGAGGCTTCAATAGAACTCGCAGAGACGCCTTCACCACCAACAGCCTCTATGGCACGCATCGCCTCGTCGGTGATAGCACGTGCCTCCATGAGGGTGTCTTCGATATTCTTGTAGGTTTCGCGTACCTCCAGCGTCCGATCCACACCATCACGATCCAACGCTGCCACAATGCGGTTACTAACACGCTCCAGACTGTGAGCTTTGCTTATCGCCTCCGGAGGCACAGCATCTGGCACCTGAGAGGGGAAGAAAATCTGAGGCCGATGTTGGAATGTGCTTCGGTGGTTGAGAAGTGAGTGCGACTGTGGGGAAATTTTGTTTTAGTTTTATGTCTAGTTTTACACGAGCTTTTTTGTCTTAACAAGTTTCATTGACAATCTTGACGGGAAAACCACCCCACCAAGCATTACCTTTGTGTTCACAATCTCAGAATGTTTTCAAACGTAATTCGGGGGTGCCTTGCATCCGATTCAATTTTAAAGGACAAAATTACTTTCCTCATTAATTTGACGCCAATTCTAAAAATTGAAGCGAGAAGACATCCGGCTCGAATTGTAAGAATCCAATGAAGCCTGGAGATTCAGTTTACAAAGAAGGCGCCACCCAGGATTCGCCAAGTTCTGCAGAATATAACACTAACGCTTGAGACTAATGTCTCCCCGACTTGCTGGAATTTTCGGCGCATTACCGTTGCTCAAATGCGGCAGGTAGTTTTAAAAGCATCGACTGCGCTTTGTTGGCTAGTGCATCAGAACGACCACAGACGGCTACGCACTACATTAACATTTATTTGACTACATGAGGTCTTCAGCTTTTGCGAATTCGGCTGCCATATCTGGGTGGTGTGCCATTTTATTTATCAGTCGGCCATCCGTGCATTTTATATTATTGTCCTACCTAGAACCACCTAATCGTTGGGATTATCTCGGGCACTACAGTTTTTAGTTGATCACCATAGTAGCTTTTTGGACTATTAAAGTGTTTTACTTTGAAAAATTAATTAAACCTGGTTAAAAGGCTGAGACTTCTCCAAGAGATCAGCCAGTCGGTTTAGTTCACTCAGAGTCGGAGTCTGGAAGTTCGAGACGTTGTTTTTTAAAATAGTCAATTGTTCTTCGAAAATACTCTGATTTAAGTGGATCATGTCAATTGCGCTGCCACTGGTATTATCCATCATCTCCTGAATGCTCAAAATTTCATCCTACAAGAAAACAAAAAGGGCTAGTGTTACTTTTTTCTACTCGAGTGATATCAGTAGCATCGCTTGTTCTGAATCTTACCAATTTCTGTTGGGTTTGATTACCCATATTATAAAGTCGTTCCAATTGGGTGTTCAAATGAGAATCTAGCATCTTTTGGTAGTACTCTAATCTGTCGATTTTGACCGCATAGTTCACTCCCGATGTACGTTTTAAAATTGCGGCCAACTGCTCCTCCAATTGTCTGGTAGCTTCAAGCATCTCACTCGCCCACTCATTGGTGGGTTGAAGGTCAATGCGTGAAACCTCCTGACGAATCAAACGAGCCTGCTGATGCCACTGTTGAATGAGAGCCTCGTCCACGGGACCAGATCGGAAATTTTGCATCGACTGGATCCATTCATTGAAACGACGCTCAAGGCCCACAAGCTTCCGTGATAAACGGGCAGTGTTATTTGTGCTGTTGCAGCTAGCTTCATCAATTGCCTTTATGCTAGCAGGCAGCGTGGTTACCATGGTGAGTGAAATACGGGACAAATCATCAGTGATCTTGGAGGCACGTTCGAGAAGTTCGCGTTCGGTGTAAAGGGTGCCGGTAAGGTTATACCGATCTAGCAGTTGTTTTGCTCGATTTTGAAGGTCATTCAAGCCTCGACGGGCCAGCTCCGTGAGGTCGATTGCATCCATTTCGGTGCTTACTTCAGCTGCGCGTTCAAGCAATTCACCTGTACATTCGCCACGACAATCTATAAGGGGGAGAGACGATAAAGAGGACCCATTTATTCTATTACACCGAATTGTGAACAGTTTCATTTTTTTGTCCATCCATCATTACAGGATTCAAAGTGTTGCACAGTCTGCTAGTAAAATGTCAAGCACACTCACCAATGCAGCGTCCGGCATCGACTACATGACCCTCTGGACACTCATCACACTGTCGTCCGCTGACACCCGGCAGACAGGCGCATTGGCCGGTCTTCATATTGCAATTTTGATGTCTTGAGCCCGCCGGATTGCATGCACACGGTTTACAGGGGATCACCATCAATGGGTCGCCATAGTAACCAGTGGCGCAACGGTCGCACAGTTGACCCGCATAACCCGGCAGGCATTCACAAACATGTTGACCGTAGGAACCGATGGAATAGCAGGTCTTTGCATAGCTGCAACCAGTCGGGTGAGTGGGTGAGACGAATCATCGTCAGTTTTGATTGGTAAAGAGATGATTTTGTCAAAATCAAGGTCGGTAGTAAAATATGGGTCTACTTGCAAAATAAGCATATTTAAGGTGCAAAGAGGAGAAAAGTAACATTTACTTGGCGGTTTCGCTTGGACACCGGCATCTTTCGCAGAGGACGCCTTTGACCGGGTCGCCAGAGTATCCCTCAGCACAGACTTCGCAGTGCGCTCCGGCAGTATTACCCGCACAGTTTATACAAAAGCCACTTTGTTGATCGCATTCTGTTGCCATTCCGTTACATTCACAATCCAACACACCGCCGCCCTCAAAACTGAAGCTGGGCTCTAAAAAAAGTGAGAAGACTTGGTAAAACTGACCATTCTCATTACAGTCAGGCCGATCTGTCTGGCCCCATTACTGAAAAGATTATGAGGAGGTTACAAATCTGTTCTAATGCACAGAAATTTCTTTGAAAATTTTGGCCAGACTTGTTCAAACGGCGTAAAGTGCCTCCAACCAGCTGTTGCCAACAGAAACAAGTTTCCTGAAAGATATTGTTTTCATTTTACCGCAACGAGAGGACTGAAAATGCCCCACCAGACTGTTATGTGAGCTGAGATAAAGCACTTGAAAGAACTTAAGATTCGCCAAAATGAACAATGCTGATTCGTAATGAAGGTTTCACTAACGGCTAGTGCAGGGTTGATGAATTTCCGGTAAGCGAAATTTGAGCCTGATAGATAAGTTCCCCAAATCTTTCATTCCCGACATGACATAGCTATTGTCATACAAGAGCAACAGAAGTGCTTCACCCAGTGAAGCCTTGAAATTGCATATGCGGCTTGTAGATGCTACTAATTGGTTTAACTGAAAGTCCACACTGAACGTACACAATGTATTAGATTGAAACACATCGAGAGACCTAGTTTTTACCTAGGTTCTCTAAGTAACAGGAAGTTCACTCACTTCCTCCAGCAGGAATGGAGTCATTATCAGAGGGCTTAGAGATATCAGTCATTTCGTCGAAGAAGGTGCCATCAGGACCGGGTTTAATCACGATTGGTGGGAAGTAACTCAGCTTGTCGGCCATCTAAAAAATCAAGAAAATCCATTTTGGTCTGCCTAGCTACAAATGTGATATAAATTGGCTGAGTGAAGTTCTGCATTGGCTTGTCTACATTTCCTGTTTCTAAAATAATAAGCAATCTAAGATGCGGTGCAAATAATTGCACAAATCATTTGCAAAAAGGGTACAAATTAGTTAAGTCCTGTTCAGCTATGCAAAAAAAGATCAGCAATTGACACTTGCGGCTGATTTAGGAAACGTAATTTTGTTCATCGGGCACTGAAATAAACCAGCTACTAATTGCTTTATAAGTAGACAACTTACTTCACAGTGATCGCCTTTAGCCGAGTCAGTGCAAACGCAAGTCTCAATCGTGGTGATCGGCGTGCCCAGTTGAGTTAGCGCCTCGCTCTTTGCTGTCCTCGTCCGGTAGTTCACACTAGAGGGAAAGTGTAGACACAGATTTAGGCATTGATAATAAAAATGGAACAAAAGCACCTAATGGAGGTGCAATTTAATTATGTGGTAATTTGGTAAGGCAACCCTGAGACTCAACCTGCATGACTGGCTACCATGGGTCATATAAAATTGCGGTGGGCTAACCTGATGGCCACTGAATGAATAAACGGAATGAATTGCCTTGCCCCGGAGGCAAAAAAGCAAACTAAAATGGTTGCAGATAATTTGCAGATACACCTTATCGCCTTGAGTGGAATACCAGGTAAAGCCAAGCGGACGGAGAAGGAGGTGATGTTGACGAGGGCTAGCATGAGGGCCGCCCGACTGGGGCGCACTCGAAGGTGTTGTGTGTTGATGCGGGTGAGTACCCAGTCGTCTTCGCGCATCCAAATTGTGTTGTACTGCGCCACCAAATCCCCTCCAGGCACCGGAGTATGCGGTGGTGGATTCTGAGAGATAGTGAATCCGAGAAATGATTTCTACTTCCGGGTAATACGTGCATTAAATCATATCGAGTTACTTCTCATAGCACAAATAGAATTCAAACCACCTCCACTACTAGCGAAAATTTTGTACATTTTAGTCTCGTCATACCTGGGGCTGATATTCAAACTCAAGCTGGCCGTTGAGAGCGGTCATCCGAGCAAAGACTTTTTGGGGGTCCTCTAACACCGTTTGATATGCGGAGGGCACCCAGCGTGCCTCCAGCCTTGTATTGTCCTCAGACGTCTCAAAGCCACAGCTAGCCGTTGGCAGGCAGTCTACGTGAACCTCCGCCAATATCGACCCGTAGCTTCGTGTCTGTAAAAGAACGGTTGTTGTGATTTGGTCTGCACTTCTGGCTACCGAGTTATGGTTCCTTAATCTGTTTTCTATCAAATTATAATTCCTTAGTTAGCTTCATCGAATTAAATTAGTCCGAAGCACTTTAACGATAATAGCAAACACTTTGAGGGATAGTTGGGACTTACATAGGTTCCCTTCACGTCGGGTAGTATAAGGAAGGTTGGCATGCTCTTTGAAAAGCGCCACTTAAATTGGCTTTGGCCTACTGTCAGGTCGGGTAACTGGCTGGATCCTGTGCTGACCTCTGAAGTTAGTTGGAGGTCAACCACAGGGCCACCTGGCATGTACGGATTGTCCGTTCCCACCAGCTATAAAATAACAAGAATGACGCTTCCACGAACTCATGGTGTGCAAGAAAATTTAAGGAAGCTAGATAATTAATTGCTACTGCAGTTCGATGCTAGATTGGATAAAAAATCTAACACCTCTACCATATTACTACAATGTTTAACTAGAAGGGATCTTTTTTTCGATCAAATATGATACCTGAAGTCTTCGAGGAATTTCTGGCACCGATCGATAGCCCTTGAGTTGTTCACATTGTGGAGGTTTCGAGGTTGGGAAGCAGAAGCAAGCATAGCAACCGAGGGGATAATCAGCGCTTAGTCCAAACGATCCTGGGATGCACCGATCACACTTCTCTCCCTACAGAAAGTTAAAATATTGTTGCAAATTCTAACAAATCAGTGAGAGTTCTGTTTTGCCAATTTCTGAACCTCACCTCGACGTTTGGCTTACAGAGACAGGCACCAGTTTCGGGATTGCAGGCAAGCTGATCCCCATTGCTGGCATTTCGAAGAGTTCCTTCCAAACTGCACATGCAAGGCTTGCAATCGGGGTAGCCGTAATAACCGGGGGCACATTTGTCACAAGCGCGACCGGAGAAACCACTCTTGCAAGTGCATTGGCCAGTTACAAGATCACAGCCACCCAATGCATTCACCGAACCGATCTTTGAGCAGTTACAGTCCTATAAGGCATATTTCTCAAGGTCCACTTATATCTTAAAGTAATATCATATAGTCGAATTTCCCAAAAAATGTCCTAACTACGAGTCTTAATGGTTTAATATGTCCGAAGCCATTCTTACTTTGCATCCCAAAATGGGGTTATAATCGTAGGAATTGGGGACACATGTCTCGCACCGATCTCCACTTGTATTTCTGGGACAACTGCACTTTCCAGTAAGTTGGTCACATACTCGACCACTCGGGCATTGGGGACAGCCTAAAATGAATAAAATTATATCTCCATTGGAGAAAAGGTTATTTGGCATTCTAAATGCCACCTAAGTGTATGGAAACTCACGTTTGCAGCCCTGAGGCGAAGGTCCCCAAAATCCCGGCTCGCATTGGTCGCAGCGTCGACCAGTTACGAAAGGCGCGCAGCGGCATTGGCCAGTGAACATGTCACAACCACTGGTGGATAGAGACCCGGCACCACAATCGCAGGAGATGCAGTGTGGCTCGCTTCCATTCCAGTAATAGCCCGCCTAATACAAACACATTAAATGGATCGCCTAATTTCGTCTTGAATCAGACGAAATGTGAGTGGATTACTCACCAGACAACGATCGCACTTTTGACCAACCACGTTATCGCCACATTCGCACTGACCAGTGGTTGGGTGGCAGGAAGTTGATAGCGCACGATTTGAACACTCGCAAGCTGATTGGTTGAAAGATTATTTGAGCTTGGGTTGATCAAATGGTCAAATTTTTATGGAGTTTTGTAAAAACTATAAATGAAACTTCAAAGTAATTTTTCCAATCACAATGCTAACGCCGATCATTGGAGATAATCTATTCAAAAACTTAAGAAGCTTAGTAACACGAATCAAGGAGGGAGTTGTAGAAATGTTTTAAAACTCCTCGTTGCATGATTTTTGGGATGATAATCAGTTTAGAATGTTGTTAAGAATAGCGTCAGTAATTCACACACATCTTCTAGACGTTCGATCGGTTAATTTGAGGATCTTAGATAACCATTATAAGGTACAACACAAATGAGATTTCTGCAGTAACTTACATTGACAGCCGTTAATACCGAGGTTGTAGTACCCGTCATCACATCTATCACATTCGAGCGTTCCTCCAACACCAGGTTTGCAGTAGCACTGACCCGTGACGGGATCACACGAGCCGTTGGTGAGAGGCAGGGAGCCCAGTGGGTCACAGTTGCAAAACGGACAGCCAGCGTCTACGTTGCCCCGACCCGACACGCAGCGATCGCAGTGTCGCCCCTCATAGAAGAGCTTGCAGAGGCACAGACCTGTCTCCTTATCGCATTCGATGCTCCGACTACCCACGGGATGGCATCTGCAGGCTTGACGCGGGAGAAAGCAGTGAGAACTACGAAATGGCAGTTTATTGGAGGAATATTTGAGTTCCTCCTGACTTGTCAACATCATCAAGAAACACTTTAAAGGCGTCAATATCCACTACAAGACCAATGGCATTCAAAATAATGTCAATGTGCAAAAATGAGATCGCTCAAGGACTCTTAAAAATCGCAGCAAGTGCCGCGTCTTACCTTTTCAAGCACCGCTTATTTGCTAGTTGGCATGGGAAAAGTGCGAATCAAACACGTCAGATTTTGCCCACATTCCACTCTTTCAAGCAAAGCTCTGACAAATGTCTGTCGACTTTCAATTTCTTCAAAGTTAAAGCAGATCTAAACTCACGAGTGCAGGGTTCACTTTGCAGAGGGTCACCGTGACTGCCAGGTTCGCATTCGGTGCATCGCGGACCCGTGGTGTGGTAGCCACACCGACATTCTCCAGTGATGCCATCACAACCAATCGCCATGAGGCCGCAGTCACAAGGTCGACAAGGCTGACCCAATAGGGGGTTACCGTAAAACATCTCAGCGCAGGCCTCGCAGAATTGACCTCGGGTGCTGGAAATACCGCATGAGATGTCAAAATCATGGCGAAATAGAAGCAAAGCTTTTTTTTGGCCAATTAGGAATGGAAAACGAGGGGTAAGGGCCTCATAATTATTAGTTTAATTATCATTCTTATGCACCGCCTACAATTTATTAAAAATGCAAAAGTCTGCGAACCTCGACTAACCAGAAAAAGGGACGTTTTGATTTGCAAGCGGAAGTTGGGATTTCACAAATTTAAAGGTTACTTAATCTGCATTATGCCTATTGAATACATTAAAAGACCTCGAAATATTCCCGGCAAAATATACAAATATAATAATACACTGCTTTCCCAAAATATACCCGAGGGTGAATTTAATTATCCGAGCTAATGAACAGATTCACTTTAAATGAAGACCGCGATCTAACCAATTAAAACGCTGTTATTTCCACGGCTATGGAAAAAGCTCCCAACTGACCAGTTTCAGAGGTTAAAATACATCTTTTAGCTAAAAGCTACCCAGCT